TGGTAATGAAATGGCCCAGTTGAAGTGTAAGGTTTTCGTTCATTCTTGGGCCTGTACATTGTGCTTCAACATGTGGCGGGCGACATGAGATACGACTGTCAATTTGTTTACGGATACTATTAGTTATTGTGATTACTACGTCTGTTACTACATACTACTCTGATCCGAAACGTTTGTCAGGTAGTTTTTCATTTGATTAAAGTATGTGCCATGGCTTTCGAACAACTTGATTTTTGTATGCAACTCCAAGACAACATATTCAAGGCACAAAATTTAATGTATTTTTTTAAGGTTATGCCGACTACTCAATCAAGAGAATTCACCAACGCTTCCATGGTGGACTCCTCGCCCAGACGCTCATGCAAATGAGTTAACGCACTCTCGTAGCAAGATGCATCGAACTCAACATTGTACGATGCAAAGTCAGCAATTGAAGCATCCTTTCTCATATGAGGAAGTTTGTAATCATTGCTTCCAAGCATTTCAATGGACATTTCCAAAACCTTTTGAAGTGTTATGAATGTCTTTGCAACTGTATCTGCCGGTAACTCATAAAACGCACTTTCTACAGCACCAATAAGCTCCTCGATTGAACGAGTTGCCTTTTGGTGCTGAAGACTTTGAATAGAATTTAAAAAAACCTAAATCTAAGACATTAAAGTCTGAACTGTTGGGGGGCTGATTTGCTACAACAATCCCACGCACACCTTTGGCTTGAAGCAGCTCTGTCGTAACGCAACGGTGAGGGCTGGCGTTGTCTTGTTGGAGGAACACGTTACCGCGCCGCACACCACCAGGAAACTAAGCCATAATGGTAGCGACGACCTTGTTCAGAACGACGTCAAAATACACAGTACTGTCCACGGCTCGAGGAACAGTGACAAGGGTGCCCTTGGGGCGGCTCTTGCTTCCACGCAACGCCGCCGACACTTGAACGAAGGGTCACACACCAACCTTGCCGTCCGAAAACGTCTTGGAGTGATGGTCGTAGCGGAAACATAAGCTTGGTTATGTAGTGCTTGGACTTGACGGAGCGCGCAGCCACCTCTTCGTCATCGTACGCATAGTACCGACGTTTGACCTTCGTCAAATTGAACCACTTTTCATCAACATGCACGAAATCGAGCATGTTGGAGAAAGAGTGGCGACGATTTGACAAAGGTCGAACGAAGGACATTGCGTACCTCAGACGAGCTTCGATGTTCGCTGGCGTGAGGAATGGTTTGACGTAGTTGGACTTGGCCTTGAATCTTGGGGTCTTCTTCTTGTGGCGAATAATGGATGTCATTGGGATCCCACACGCAGCCCAAAGCAATCGAAGAGTCTGCCGCG